TGCCTGGCTCTGTCCCTTGTTCATGGCCAAGAAATGAATGTTTAAGAATCATTTGCCAGGTGCTGGTGGCTCACACCTGTAATCCTAGCTACTCAGGAGGCTAAGATTTGAGGATTGCAGTTCAAAGCCAGCCTGGGCAGGAAAGTCTGTGAGATTCTTATCTCTAGTTAACCACCAGGAAACAACAATAACTGGAAGTGGCACTGTGGCTCAAGTGGTACAGTGCTGACCTTGAGCTGAAGAGCTCAGGGACAGCCCCCAGGTCCAGAGTTCAAGCCCCACAAGTGACAAAAAAAATAAGTAAAAATATTTTAACTCCCTATAGCTTCCATCAGTGATTAAATGGGGCACTGTAAATGATTATTAAATAATGCCAAAATCTCTGGCAGCAATTGGAAGATTGGCCAAAGGACAAATCTCTATATCTGGCTCAGGGGACTAAATGAAGACCTTTTGGGTAAGCTTATTTAATGACCCATTCTCCCAACAATGATGGATTGTTGGGGAGAAGCCCCAGGCTGGCACCTGACTCTCTCCATGTTGCAATGATCCCTACTTTGTAGACTCAAGACTAATAAGCCCTTGGAGGAGGCCAGAGCCTGGTATATAATCCTGGCTATGGCAATCCCGGCTGGACCAGGAGAATTCATTCATACATTATCCAGAGAAAAATGCAAAGTGCAGGAGAGACCTGGAAGTATTAAAGTTGGTTTCTATAAGTCTAGTGGTTTTGTTTTGCTTTGTTTTTGGCTCTTTGCCCAACTGATGGACTTGGGCAAGCTGTGTACTTTTTATGTAAGGGGAAGTGGAAAAACAATGAGTGGAAAAAAGATGAGTGGAGCAAAGTATTGCCCACACGTGCTTTTTGATTTAGAAAATCAATGTCATGACATCCAAGGTTCTTAGAAAAGCTGAAAAGTTTGCCTGTACTTCTAACGCTATTAGACAGTTAGGAGATAACCTATCACACTGACCTTTAGAAGCTTTTTCTCTGACTCTGGGGCATATTTTGGTAGAGAATGAATCTGATCCTTTTTCATACAACCTTCATTTCATTTTGACATAACTCTCTGAATTCATGTTCCCTGGCTGTGAATTCAACCAACTACAAATCGAAAATATTTGAGAAAAATACATAGAATCTGTGCAGTAAAGTGTAATGATTCAGAGACCATTTTTGTTGGATAGTATGATCTAGAGATGATTTGAAGCATGCAAAAGGATGTGTGTAGGTTTTATGCAAGTCTTACAGTATTTTATGAAAGGTTCGGGCACTGGTAGGGGCATCCTGAGGTCAATGGCCCTAGGATTCTGAGGGGTGACTATATAGAGAACTAATCATTGATAACATGACTTCCCTCATTAATCTTGGTTGTCTTCTCCTACAGTCCAGTTCTCTGAAGGTTCACCTCTTTCCATTCCTAGAACTTTTAAACTTTACAGCTGATCTGTAGGCCTTTTAACCTAGTGAGAGTACCTTCTGTTTTACCCAGAGCACATGGTGCAAACTTCTAGCATATAGGAGAATCAGTTCTACCTTCAGGTGATGCTTGAAGGAAGCACTTTTCAGATTAAGAAGGAAGCAGGATGCAGGTAGAGCAAGGAGGTCAGATAGCATAGTGGAAGGCACAGGCAGCATGATTTGGCTGTTCAGTACATTGTGGGGGAGTGTGGGCTGCAGATGGAAATGGAAACCAGGCCTATGGGCCTTACTATGGCTGCCTGTGTACCCTGCCCTCAACTGACATCCTGGGAGACCACAGGTAGGATGGACTATGCTTTTTTTTTTTAGGAGAAACCCTGATAGAAATGTGGACAATAGACATATATAACAAGCTGAGCCCCAGGTTCCTTAGTCCCAAAGCTGGCACTCTAGGTTTGCATAAAGATTAGAGAAGCCTAGTGTATTATTGATGTGCTATGGATACATGACTGAGAGTCACAAATGTGTTACACTTCCGTTCTCAATATCCATGTGGTATTGTTATGGAAGCTGTCCATTTCTTGATGCATCTGCTGTTAGTTTTTATAGAAATAGCTATTACCATCTGTTGTCTGCTGTAGCTTGAACAGTAACTGCTACAAATTGGAGGGAGAGGGTGGGAAGAAAGCTGATGAATATTGATCAGCAGAGGAAAAGAAAATGCTTTGTTTTTGCTTTGTCTTGCTTTCTTTCAGGAGAAACATATTTTCTATCTTCTCATAGTATATAGCAAGTCTGGTGCCTAAAGACCTCACAATATTTCACTAACACTCTCCTGTCCAAGAAAGCATTGTTATCATAAAATGACTAGAAACCAGGAGGACATAAGGCATCTCACAATGTGTGATACTCATCTGATTTGATTCATTTTATTCATCCGTGTTATAAAGGTCTTCGGTTCCTATTTTTAAAGCGTGGGTCTGAATCCTGTCTTTACCACTCAGTGCTGGTATGACTCAGAAATCAGTTCACCTCTCTGAGCCTAAGTTCTTGTAAGATGGGGAATGTGCTAGGTTTACCTTAGCACTACTGGGAGGACTAGGTGAGACAGTTTGATAGAAACACTGGGCAGGTTATCAGTGAGCTGGGAAAGGGCCTTCAGTTGTGGAAATTAGCACTTGCTAATATACATGATGATATCAGATAGTTAATTCCAAGTTTCTTCTGTAGACAATTTTTTGTGATTTGAATTCAGAACCTTATAATTGCTAGGAAGGCACTCTACCAGTGAGCCACACCTCTAGAATTTTTTTGAGGGTCATGGGATTGAACTCAGAGCCTAGGCACTGTTCCTGAGCATTTTGCTCAAGGCTAGCCCTCTACTACTTTGAGCCACAGCTCCACTTAAGGTTTTGAGGTGCTCATTTGTAGATAAACAGTCTCATGGCCCTCCCTACCCGTGTTGACTGAACCACAATCCTCAGATCTCAGTCTCCTGAGTAGCTAGCATTACAGGCATGAGACATCAGAGCCCAGCTCTAGCTCCTTTTTTTTTGTTTTTAAATTTGCACTGATTGTTTTTGAAGTAGGGTCTTAAATCCTATCAAGATACCATATGGACTATGATATCTGCTGACTTTAAACTTTCTTTCCTGAGGTGACAAATAAGTAAAACCATACCCATTATTTTTCTGTTGAGGTGGAGTCTCACCTCCTTGTTTATCCAGGCTAGTCTAATGATCCTTCTGATTTCAGACTCCCCCATTGCATAGATATGTAACCACAAGTTACACTTGTGCCTCATTTCAGCCTGGTGCATGTCAGACTCTTCAAGAATGAAGAGTAGATGGATGACAGGCTCAAAATTCATCAGCGTGGCTAGAGTTTACTTTTGCATTTCATCTGGCATGTGCCTTGGAGTTCAGTTTTGGAAATTGATATAAAGATCAACTTTTCAGGGAGCTTCTAGCTGTTCAGAAGGGGTCTTGTAGCTGGGTAATAATAGCTTATGTCTATAATCCTAGCTACTCAGGAGGCTGAGATCTGAGGATCACAGTTCAAAGTCAGCCTTGGTAGGAATTTCCATGGGACTCTCATCTCCAGTTAACCACCAAAAGCCAGAAGTAGAACTGTGGCTCAAGTGGTTGGTAGAGTGCTAGCCTTGAGGACAAAAGTTCAGGCATAGCACCCAGGCCCTGAGTTCAAGTACCAGTAATGGCACACATAAAAGGAGAAGGAGTCTTAGAAACTTTTCTGTCCATGCTGCTTTGAACTGCAGTCTTAGTCTCCTTACAGTTGTAAGCCACCAGCTAATGTAAGCACATGAAAGGAAAGAGAAGTGAGTTTTAGTCTATCAAGGTTCTTGAGCCTGAAGAGGTCTTTAAGTACAGTGCCCATCTCATGTTACAGACTTCATCAATTCAAGCCCAGGTGACAGTGGGTATGGTCAGTCTGATCTTTTTCATGGGTGGAACAGTAGGGCAGAAAGATATCGAGGACATGACTACTCTTGGCCTACAAAATTGTCATGAGTGGTGATCACAGGCAAACAAGATAGTTCACATGGCCACAGAGGTGATCACTGGCTTTATTACTCTACCTTTTTATTTGGATTTGGTAGCAGCAAATTCTGCCTTGGAGGACCCTTGTGAGGAGCTGGATGGTATCTTAGCTCTGAGCATCAGTTACACTTGTGCCTCATTTCAGCCTGGTGCATATCAGACTCTTCAAGAATGAAGAGTAGATGGATGACAGGCTCAAAATTCATCAGCGTGGCTAGAGTTTACTTTTGCATTTCATCTGGCATGTGCCTTGGAGTTCAGTTTTGGAAATTGATATAAAGATCAACTTTTCAGGGAGCTTCTAGCTGGTTTGCATTTTTCCTGCATCGGTACCTTTGGTGGATGTGACACCATACTCCCAAGCATTGGCTCTGGTGTAGGTTTGACAGAAAATCTATTCACATGTCAGCTTTATAAACCAGGGCTTTTTTTTTTTTTTTTTTTTTTGGTGCCAGTTCTGGGGTTTGAACTCAGGGCCTGGGCACTGTCACTTAGATTTTTTGCTCAAAGCTAGTGCTCTACCACTTGAGTCCTAGCTCCACTTCCAGGTTTTTGGTGATTAATTGATGCTAAGTCTCAGGCACTTTCCTGCCCAGACTCACTTCAAATTGTAGTCCTTAGATCTAAGTCTCTTTCTTGCTGGCTAGTATTATAGGAATGAGCCACTGGGGCCTAGCAACCAGGGCCTCCTAAACAGCCAAGTTTGTGTGTTCTGCCTTTCACAACAGATGCCTTTTTACCAGCCCTGCTCTACCAAATTAATTAGATTTACATTCTGAATTCACACTTTATCAGACACACCATAGGAGTGAGGCTGCTGACAGGCTCAAGGCATGAGCCCAATTGCATGAACCATGTAAATGCTCAGGCTTAATCTTCATCAGCAAAAAGTGCAAGACTAATCAGGACACCTCAAATGATTCACTCCTCTGAGGAAATGATACATTAAAATACATATACACACATTTTATTTTTAAGACCACAACTGAATTCTTTTTTTTTTGGGTAGAATTAAATCTGACAAGAAACCCTCTGAGATTTTATTAGTACCACTGTTGTTTTCTTTGGCTTCATGTATTATATTCATAAAATGACTAAAAGAGGGAAAATAATTGTAAAAGGAAAATATTTTGTACAAAAATACCAGGTTTTAAAAGCTCTTTAAGTATATTTCATATTACTAAGAATTGGCCTATATATCTATATATGTCTGCATAGTTTTCCTACATCTGGGATTTTAGAAATGTAAGGTACTGTTTACACAGTGTGTAAGTTCTTTGTGTAGCGCAACAACCGATGACAGTCTTTTTAGTTGGAGTATTCCATACTTTGAGTGATTTAATTTGCATAATTGTGTGATTATTGGCTGAGAAAAATCTCTATGTGAGTCAGTCCATCTGCACACTGAGAATCGGTATCGCTCTGGGGGACATTTCAGTTTCCAAGTCCTTGGAATAATGGCAAATGCTAGCTGTCAATTTTTAGTATTGGTTTTCAGTGCTTCTCCCTCCTCCAACATGGAGAGAAGGTAATGAAATCCAGAGTATCCTTCGCCTTGGAGAGCCCCCTGAAGGTTTGCTCAGGTTATTACATCAGCATCTGTTATAATGCAGATGATAGGTCTAGAAGAGAGAAATAGGATGGAGTTAGAGGCATCTTTAGGAACAATTCTATTATCTATTATTTAATAACGTTTATTTTTTTCCCTTTGATGAGTGACAGTACTGGGCCTGGAACACAGGACCTCTCATTTGATAGGAAGTGTTCTATTTGAGGCATTTCCTCTAGTCCTTTTTGCTTTAGTTTGTTTTACAGATAGAGATTCACATTTTTTTCCTTAAACTGGCCTCAGACCTCAGTCACTTCTACCTCTGCCTCCTGGGTATGTGTGGGATTACAGGTATATGCCACCATACATCACCCTAACATTATTTGCCTTTTCAAATAAGTGTGTAGAAGTACTTATTCATACTAAGCTAAATTCCTTCTAGGAGGAACCTATTTTGGGGAAAAATAGTCCCTTCTCAACAACTCCCAAATGTCTAAGGCAAAAATGATTAATTTGGTTTAGTTGTCACCACTGATTATAATCTAGTGCCTAGATATCCATGTCCCTCAACTAATCAGGCTGTGGCTTCCTTATGTGCTTTGGGGTCCCAATACTCAGTAGACCAGAAGCAATTATCTGTTGAATGGGCAGATATATAATTGGTGCCCCAATTACTTCCAAAAATAATTTGAAAAAATAATGTCTAAAAGGTTTTGTTTACTAATGGCTTAAAAAAAGCCAGCTTTATTAAAATGTAATTCATCAAGCATTCAAGTGACCCATTTCAAGTGCTGAATTCAGTGTTTGTTTTAGTATATTCACAAAGCTGTACTATGAGTCTTTGATAGATTTTTCATCATCTTCAGAAGAAACCTCATTCTCATTAGCATTCCTTCCCTACTTCCCCCTCCCCACCAGTTCTGATGAAAACTAAGGTGCTATGTTATGCAAGGGGGATATATATTAAACAAAACTTTAGGTATCTTCTGAAAGGCCTCTGTCTTGTATCTATCCATTACCTAGGACAATCTCTGGCCCGCAGGAAATGTTCAGTAAATATGCACAGAAGTATTGCTTGGCCAGGTATGGATATTGGTCTACGCAGACCATATTTTAAAGAACAGTTAGATGGTAAGTTATTGACCTAGACCCCTAAGTCTAACATTTATTGAGTACTTCCTAAATACTCAACACAGTTATCCACTTGTCTGGGTCTTCACAACCATCTCATGGAGAAAGTATTATTATTCCACAGAGGTTAATAACCTACTCTGCTAGTAAATCACAGAAACAGAACCTGCACTCAAAGCCTTTCTCACCACCTCTCCCTCACATTCCAGCCATGACATAACTTACCTGTCTCCCTGTTTTTTTCACAAATGAAGTTATTAATGTCTTCACACTGGAAATCGTTCCACTGCCCGGCATAAATCAAACCAGCACAGTCTTCTCCTGGCCCGTGGCCATGTCCCCAGTTATCTGGTTGTCCAGCTTTCCAATTTCTTTGTAACAAAAGAGAAATTGAGTGTTATTTGTACGGTAATGCAGAGGTGTTCTTTATTCAGAGGAATGTAAGAAGCAAAACTGAAGCATTGTTCCCGGAATGAAAATGCACGATGGAAAGAAAAAACAGTGCATGCACTTGCTCAGAATGATGAGCAACTGTTTTGCAGAGTAATGTGCAGTGTAATACCTCCCATTGTCATTTTTGCCATAATGAAATCACATTAAGCTTTATCATTGTGAGGCCAAGGGATTGAATCCTTTTTTGACATAGTTAGATGAATGCCTTTCTAATGTATTACAGAATGCTGACTTCTGGACATGTAAGTATAATGTGCATGAATACACATATACTAAAAGTGCGGGTAGGGGGAGTGGGAGGAGGACTCTTTGCTCTTTTTTTCCTCCCATCCTCCCTCCTTTCCTTCTCCTCCCCTCTTTTTCTGTGTTTTACTCACAAGGATCCTTGTACATTTCACTGTCTTGTCTCTAACAAGTAAAAGCCTCAGGAACAGAAAATGAGAGACCCTTCATATGTGTTTATATGAACTTAGGTTTCATTGGTTAAGTTGAGGGTAGTTGCTTGCTTTAGAAAGAAATGGTAATTAATTTTTACTGGAAATTACTCCTATATTTCACTAGCTTTTTGGGGAGAATGGTTCTTAAAAACAAATTTCCTTTAGGATGAGCTCTTTTGGGGCTTAACAGCTTGGATACTCTTGTTTGGAACAGCACTTTGCCAGAGTTCACAGTTTTTCTTTTTCTCTTTCTTTTTTGGTCTGTTGTAGGGCTTGAACTCAGGGCCTAGGTACTGTCCTTGTGTTCTTTTTGGTCAAGGCTAGCACTCTACCATTTTGAGCCACAGCTCCACTTCTGTTTTTTGGGGGTTTTTTTTTTGGTGGTAAATTGGAGATGAGTCTTATGGACTTTCCTTTTCAAGATTGGCTTTGAATCTTAGCCTCCTGAGTAGCTAGGATTACATGTATGAGCCATTGGCATCTGGCCAAGTTCACAGTTCTTGATTCTGTTTCTATACAATAAATTAGATGTACTTACAGACTCCATTTTTCTTTGTGTGGGGGGGTGTATATGTGCTAGTGCTGGGTCTTGAACTCAGGGCCTGGGCACTGTCCTTCATTTAGCATTTTTGCTCAAGGCTGGTATTCTACCACTGGGGCCACACCTCTACTTCCAGCTTTTTGGTGGTTAATTAGAGATAAGAATCTCATGTACTTTCTTGTCCAGGCTGGCTTGGAACTGTGATCCTCAGATCTCAGCCTCCTGAATAGCTAGGATTATGGGTGTGAGCCACCAGTGCCCAGCTTGAGACTCCATTCTTGAGCGCGCTTCTTTAAGATGCAATTTCATGAACAGGAGCTCAGGGTTGCTGCTTGCAAGAACACACTAGCCTCTGGGGAGGGTCTGGAAGAACATCTGCAGCAGGAGATGCTTCCCACCAATTGTGACTCACACCCATCAGCAGACGGGTGCTGTCAAGTCACCTGAGAAGAGAGCTCACAGAGCCCTCTATCTGTTGACACTAAGACCAGCCTGATGACTTCATAGATGGTAGTGTGAAAAGGCAGGTGAAGCATATAAACAATGAAGCAGAATTGTAGAACATATACCTCCAAACAAAGGGTATGTTTGGGGATTTTAAATGATCACTTCAGTTAACTTCAGTTAATGAAAAAAAGGATAACTTAAAGGAAACTATCAACTGTGATAGTAAACATGGGATAAAACTAAGAGGAAAATTTAGAATATTGTCATTTACTACTTAACAGATATTCATAAAGCACCTGCTATGTGCCAGGCATAATCCAGATGATGGCTGCACAACAGTGCAGATACAAGTCCCAGCTCTCATGGAACTTACAGAACAAGTAAGATGGATTAAAACAAGAAGCTCAGACAAAGCCAGGCACGAGTGCTCAAGGTTGCAGTCCTAGCTACTTGAGAAGTAGAGAGACCCATGGATTGTGGTTTGAGACCAGTCCAGGCATAAAAGTTTGTGAGATTCCATCTTACCCAACACGTGGACATGGTGGTGCACACCAGCCATCTTACTGACAATGGAAAGTACAAGTAGGATTGCAGATCAGAGCAGCCTAAATTGAGACCCTATTTGAAAATAATGCAAGAAAGGGCAGGCAGAATGTTTCAGAGTGGGAGAATGTGAAGCCCTGAGTTGAAACTGCAGCACTTCCTTAAAAACAAAACAAAGCAAAAAACCTCCTAGTGATTACAGATAAAAATAAAATTGGAAAGAAAAAACTTTGAGGCTGGAAGTGTGGCTCAAGTGGTAGAGCCCCGGTTTAGCAAACATGAGGCCTTGAGTTCAGTCCCTAGTACCACAAACAATGCCAACAACAAAACTTGGTTAACTTCCTTGGACATTTTTTTTTTTTTTTACATATTTCTGTCCAACTTGCAAGCCAACTCTGGAAATGTCAACAATGCCCAAAGAGTTTGATCTCATTAATGTACATTTTATTCATTTCTGCCAGTATGGTGAGAGGGATGGATCCTAATTTTGATTACAGAATTTGAGCTCTGATGCTTCTATTTATTTATTTATTTATGGGTCCGGTCATGGGGCCTGAACTCTGGACCTGGGCACTGTCCCTCAACTCTTCAGCTCAAGGCTAGCACTCTACCACTTGAGCCACAGTGCCACTTCTGGCTTTTTTCCTTTTTTTGCTTATGTGGTGCTGAGGAATCGAACCCAGGGCATCAGACATGCAAGGCAAACACTACCACTGAGCCACCTTCCCAGCCCCTGATGCTTCATTTTATAATGACAGGCTACTTAGCTGGGCGCTGGTGGCTCACGCCTGTAATCCTAGCTACTCAGGAGGCTGAGATCTGAGGATCGCGGTTCAAAGCCAGCCCGGGCAGGAGAGACCGTGAGACTCCTATCTCCAATAAACCACCAGAAAACCGGAAGTGGCGCTGTAGCTCAAGTGGTAGAGTGCTCACCTTGAGCTGAAGAGCTGAGAGACAGTGCCCAGGCCCAGAGTTCAAGTCCCATGACCAACAAAAAACAAAACAAAAAAAATGACAGGCTACTTGATAATGATTTCTCAGTTTACTGGTAAACTGTATAGATCTGGCTCCTTTGCAATAAGAAAGCCTACTTAATATTATCCTCACATTTTTCTTTTAAACCATTTAAAGCTAGATAGGTTAAAGAAAAGGATAAAGATAAAGATAATTAAGAGATAAGAAAGGAGGTAATCTCTATTATCTTCCTCCACTGGCTTTTCTGGGTCACAGGAATTCAGATACAATAATCAAGATTTTCCCTTAAGAAGGGAAAATGAGCATTCATTTTTGCAGGGGTAAGGGGAGGTGCTGAGGTAGAGTAGCATGGAGGAAGGAGGTAGCCTAAAGCCAGCTGCAGCAGCAATGTGCACAGTCTCCATGCCTTTTTCTGGAAAAGCAACAATTCCATGAAGTGACTTGTGGGAACATCTTGTGTGTGTGCTTTACAGTGGAACAGCACATGTCAGATAAACACAAGGTATGTGTTTTGGAGAAGAATGTCAGTTTAAATATTGCCTCTAGAAGGAATGGTTGAACTTTGGCCTGCAAATCCCCAGCTCTCATATTATAATCCACATGTCACAGCAACCCAAAAAGTAAGTACACCAAGAACCTTGGAAACACTTAGACGGATGGCTCCAGTGAGCTGGAAACACACACAAGCAAATCAGCTGGTGGGTGTGGAACACCTCCAGGTTTTTGGGGTCATCCTAATGGAGACAGAACATATGTTCCCGGTCTGGGGAATAGTTCCTTCCAACCTCACAACTTAGTACTTTCTTGTCAACCACGAGATTAAAGCTACAAGGCCAGCAAACTTCTGCTGGGAAAGGCTTGGCCTCAAAACAGGAAGATATTAGTGGTGAGAAATGTTTTTTCACAGTAGAATGTTATCCCATGATGAGGGCTGTAGTTGTAGAAAAGTCCTTTTGTATGACCTGGGCTAGTGCTACTCTGTTTTTTTTTTTTTAAAGGGGGCTGGGAAGTTGGCTCAGTGAAAGTGCTTGCCTTATGTGCATGAGGCCCTGGGCTCGATTCCTCAGCACCATATAAACAGCAAAAGCTGCAAGTGGCTCTGTGGCTCAAGTGGTAGGGCACTAGCCTTGAGCTGAAATGCTGAGGGACAGCACCCAGGCCCAGAGTTCAGGCCCCACAACTGACTGCCCCCCCAAAAAAAGTGAACATATACCAGTATAAATGACTGTTAAATTAGAGGAAGCGGAAGAGTCTTTTCTGGTCCCTACTATCCTATAAATTTATATTGTAAAAACACAAATATGATGTGGGGCCATCTATAAGGACAGAGAGCTGTTGTTTAACCTTTGTGATATAAACATGATATAAACATGTGACAGGTATTCCGCCAAATGACATCCACACAGGAGAAAGGGAAGAGCAGATGCAAGGGGGTTGGGGATGCTGGGGGAAGACTCACAACTCTGGTGGTTTAGTAGAGGGTGAGGAAGCCTGCTGCTCGGAGCGTGTGGGCACAGCCTACATCCTCTACCTTGCTACTTTGGCCCAAGTAAACTCTTAACAGGGACAGTCGGCCAAATGACACATCCTATCAAGAGTAAAAAGATTGGCTTTGATATGCCCCTGGTTTCACCAATCCTTTCTGTTTATCTTCTTTCTATTTCATTGCTTTTTGCTCTTTCCTGTGTGTTTCCTTATACTTAACTGTGTGTGTGCACAATTAAGTGTCTGTGTGTGTTTCTGAGGACAGAACCAGGAGCACCTAAGTTCTTTCTACTTAAATTTGTTCTTTTTCTACCCTTATAAAGTTGAAGCTGATTTTCAACTTTTAAGAACATGTTTTAATGTATGTAATGTAAGGCTAACAATGTACTACTACTAAGCATGCACTGTTTCATATGCATCTTATAATTTTATTTTTTGTGGGTCGTGGGGCTTGAACTCTGGGCCTGGGTGCTGTACCTGAGCTCTTTAGCTCAAGGTTAGCGCTCTACCACTTGAGCCTCAGTGCCACTTCTGGTTTTCTGGTAGTTAATTAGAGATAAGAGTCTCACGGATTTTCCTGCCCAGGCTGGCTTTGAACCATGATCCTCAGATCTCAGACTCCTGAGCAGCTAGGATTATAAGCATGAGCCACCGGTGCCTGGCTTACATCTTACAATTTTTGATATCTTGTATTGCTTTGTGAAACATTTTCCAGAATTTTGTGATTATTTTTTGATCTATGGTTTATTCAGAAGTGTCATATAATTTCCCAAATATTTGAGAATCTTACAGATATTTTTCAATCAGTTTCTAATTTAATTGTTTGGAAGCAGGGAACATACGCTATAAAAGTAGTCTTTTTTTTTGGGGGGGGGTCTGGTTGTGGGGCCTGAACTCTGGGCTTGGGCGCTGTCCCTCAGCTCTTCAGCTCAAGGCTAGCACTCTACCACTTGAGCCACAGCACCACTTCTGGCTTTTTTCTTTTTGTTTATGTGGTGCTGAGGAATCGAACCCAGGGCCTCAGGCATGCAAGGCAAGCACTCTGCCACTGAGCCACCTTCCCAGCCCCAAAAGTAGTCTTAAATTTATTAAGACTTGTTTTATAGTCAAGAGCATGTGGTCTATGTTGGTGAATGTCCTATAAGCATGAAAAGAAAGCATTTTTTACAGTTGTTGGGAGAAATATTTCACAACTGTCAATTCAGCTAAGTTAGCCAATTATCCTTATTGATTTTTCTGCCTACATGTTCTAACAGTAAATCTTTGAAGTCCTGCTCTTTTTTGAGATCATATTTAGGATTAAAATGTTGTCTTTGTGACATGGCCTCAGAAATGGGCCACAAAAATATGTAATTTTATTGTTAATATTAAGGTGTTACAACAAAGAGGTTACCATTTCACAACTGGGGTACAAATGGACCTTTTTAATGTGAGTACAGGGATTCCCATATTCCAGGGGAAAAAAATCCATTAGCTGGCTTATGGGGAATAGTGCAGGATAATTCAGTGAACATTAGATGATGGTGAATGGTCTCAATCTCACTCTCTAGACTAGAGACTGTCAGCCAGAAATGAAATTGCCATATGTCTATGGTGAAATGGAAAAATAAGGACAGCACCCTCCTTCTCCAGGGATTGCCAGATGGGCAGCTGTATGTATTTGGTGCCCATACTGGGGTTTCGACTCAGAGCCTCCTGGTCTTTGCGTGGCTTTTTCATTCAAGGCTGATGCTCTGCTACTTGAGTCAAACCTCTACTTCTGGCTTTTTGGTGGTTAACTGTAGGTAACTCATATTATTCTGCCCATGCTAGCTTTGAATCCTCAAGAGTATCCCGGCTTACCACTGAGTATCCAGGTGAGCCACAGGTGGCTGGCCATTTTACTTGTTTTTTTTTTGTATGTTTTTTATTGTAAAAATACTGTACAGAGGGGTTACAGTTACATGAGCAATGCAGACCTACAGTATGTGAGAACTTGGCCTGGGTGCTGTCCCAGACTATTGCAGAGTTCTTCTCATGCAGTTCCTTTTCTCCAGCTGGTCCTGCCTTGCCCTAGCCTAGCAATAGCACAAGGCTCAGTGAGTCAGTTGAGGAGTTCAGGGGAAATAAACCTAGCTTCAAGTCTGTATGTGCTCTATGCTTTTGGCACCTATTCCCTGTCATGTTCCTTTTTGTCTGGTTTATTCCACCCCTGCCTTTCTGAACCAAGTCAGAAATAACAGAAGAAGCTGGGTGCTGGTGGCTCAAGTCTAGAATCCTAGCTACTCAGATAACTGAGATCTGAGGATCATGGTTCAAAGCCAGATCAGGCAGGAAAGCCTGTGAGATTCACTTTCAATTTACTACCAAAATACCAGAAGTAGAACGGGGCCTCTAGTGGTAGAGTGCTAGCCTTGAGAGTAAAAGCTCATGGACAGTGCCCAGGCTTTGAGTTTAAGCCATAGGACCTACGAAAAGAAAAGAAAAATGCAGTGGAAGGCCTGTTATCCTTTGTATATTTCTTCCTTAACAGTAACCACAAAGTCCCTAAGTAATTTGAAAAGGGCTGTGTATGTGTTGGAGAAAAATGGTAAGAAGAAAGCTGTGACACTTAATTCCTCTGTGGTAGAGACAAGGTCTGAGATGATGCCAGCCCCATCAACTTATGGGTTTAAGAGAATTGGTACTAATCCTTCAAATGGTTAGTACAATTCAGCCATGAAGGCTCTGGTCCTAGTTTCTTCTTCCATGGGAGATTTTTGATCACTAAGTCAGCCTCATTTATTATTGTCTTGTTCAGGCTTTCTGTTTCTTCTTGATGCAGTCTGGTTAGGGTGTGTGTTTCTAGAAATGTGTCTGTTTTTCTAGGACACCTGATTGGCTGGTATATAATAATTGCACTCAGGGCCTTGACCTCTTGGGAGTAATCTCTTAGATGGCTGGATGTAGAGAATGACTGCTATAGGCAGGAGAGAGACCTCAGAAACCCAGAAAAGGAATATAAAAATAAGTCTGGATAGAGGAAGAAGTACTTGGAGAGACTGGTATTGATGGAAGGCCCTTAAAAAGCCTGCAGCCCTTCCCAGGTCTCAACAGGAAATGTTCTTATCTTCCTCACAAACTTGCTGTGAGACTTGAGACAGAACAAAACAAGAATTGCATAGTAACAGTACTATTTTAACACGATAATTATGATCAAAATAAGAATACCACCAGTACCTGGAGGTGATATGTCTCGAGTACTTCCCACATGGTAAGCCCTGTATTAAAAGGCGTGTGTGTGTGTGTGTGTGTGTGTGTGTGTGTGTGTGCATAAAAATCTTTTTCAAAATACACAGTGCTTTGGTCAAGTATGTTTTACACACAGGGAGGGGCAGATACTACATGGTGGAATACCTCACCGGGGGAAAGGTCTCATAGCTTTGAGTGCAGGGTCACGTCCTGAACCCCAGCTCTCACTTGATCCTTGAGTCTTTGCGCTTCCTCTGGATTTTACTGGCTCTTCTGCTGATATGTGCAGCATTTATTGTTATGTGTCAAATTTATTAGCCTTCAGTTATTGAGATTTCACACGATGTCTAATTCCTTGCATTTAGAATTTGACCTGGGAAGGTTTATATGCATATGGGTTAAAAAAAAAAAGAGCCACAGGCTTTGCTGTAGCAGGAGCTGGAGCTTTGGGGGGGCCAACTGGCAGGCTGGGGCTGCGGACAAGTTCTTAGTAATGTGTCTGGTGATGTAATCCTGGGTAGCAATGTTTCCAAATCACCCAAGACTCCAGGCAAAGTTTCACCTTGGAAGAGCTAGCATATACACTGTGGTGTTCCAGCTCAATATATTCCATGAGGGCCAACCCAGTTTCTTAGAGGAAAGCTAAAGAATGAATTTCTTGGTGAATCTAACATAGACTTTTCCTTCATTTATTGGGATGAAAAAAATGGAGATGACTTTTTCTTAAATCCTGGCTGTCTTGGCTAGCAAAGAAAATAGGTTTGTCTTCTCTTTAATCATCTCTACCTCCTGTTCTCACTCCCAGCCCTCCATGGCTGTGTATAGATGACAATATCCACAACTGTTTTGAGTCTCCCATAGTTCATCCCTGCTATGCTAAGTACTAGAGAATTCCTGAGTGCCAGAGTATGTTAGGGTATAACTTCCAAGTACAGAAGAGCAGATAGAGTATCTACCAGGTCAGCAGATGCTCACTTTTGGGGCAGACCTAAGATCTCCAAATGATCCATATCAACATTTGAGGATATTCTTCAGATTCATCCATGTGGAGAACAAGGTGAGAAGAAGGTGGATTTAAACATACAAAACTCTCAGGGGAGGTGGTACATGCATTAGACTGAATTTGCCTTAGGCCCCATGCATGAAACATGGTCTCAAAAGGACAAAGCTGTCTGTTTATGTGTGCATTTTTTAGAACTATCTGGCTTCTCTATCACCTCTGACCCAATGCCACTATTCCACCGATACAAGTCTTATCACAATGCCTAAAACAGCTTCTTTTTCTCCTCTCCTGGGTAGAACAGCCCCAGAAGGCTAGGCTCAGAAAGAGCTCTAGTGGCAAGGCCCAAGTAGGGAGAAGAAATGGGATTCAAATGGGTAGAATTACCTTTGACTTGTAGGGATGGGGAGGGACCTGAGAGCTCTAAAGTCCTTTAAGAGATGGTTTTCCTAAAGTGCAACTTTTGAGGTGCACTTGAGTCTCCTGGGTCTCTAATCAGTTTAGATACACCAATAGTAGTGGGCTGAAAGGAACCCTCAGTTGGCAAAAAATTATCTGAGTGAAAGCAGAATATACTTAAGATTGTCTAAGCTTCATTACCTTCCTCATAACAGAAGAACATGACTGTGTAGTTTTATGAGTCTTACGATTTTCTCTCTCAGAAATAAAAATTCATTCCATGTAAACCAAAGAGGAAAACTCTACTGGACAGCCTATCACCTGTCAACCAGTTTCCCCTATGGATATAGGCAACTGGTTTCAGTAGAGAGAAGGAGTATCTGAGCACCATGGAGGTTTCTGAATACTCACTTGTAGTCTGCAGGTGTCCCATCCAGCCACTTCCACTCGTTCTCCTGCTCTGAGTCTGTGAGGCCAATCCAATGGCTGTCCCTCCCCACGATCTGCTTCTTTATCCATTGCTGAAAAATAAATCAGAATGGGCACATTACTATTTCTATCAAGACTAATGATGGTATTAATATCTGAAAGATTGTTTTCAACATTTGGGGTAAAGGACACTTGAACAAGGGTGTTTATGACCATTTTTTAGATGGTTTGCCATCCTCTTTTTTTGGGGTGGGGGGTCCGGTCTGGTTGTGGGGCCTGAACTCTGGGCCTGGGTGCTGTCTCTCAGCTCTTCGGCTCAAGGCTAGCGCTCTACAAATTGAGCCACAGAGCCACTTCCGGCTTTTTTCTTATGTGGTGCTGAGGAATCGAACCCAGGGCCTCAGGCATGCAAAGCAAGCGCTCTACCACTGAGCCACCTTCCCAGCCCCTGCCATCCTCTTTTTTAATACCATTTATTTTGTTGGGACACTGTTTTATGGGCTTAGACTTTTTTTTTAAGTCTCAAGCTACATCACTTTACAAGTGATATAAAGTAATGCAACTCCTTCAAATCACCAGGACAGCTCAATGAAGCCCTTGGGCCACCAGTAGAACCTCCTGGGTTCTACTTATGGGAACAGCCATAGCATTATGATGCTTCTCCCTCGGCCAGGCCTGGTGCAGTGTGTCTTTAAGGCTGTATAATAAAGATGACAAGAGGATGAGCTGGCTTAGGCCCAGGCACCTGACTGCTCCCCTCTGGATGATTCTAGGTCAGTTTCTAGAAGAAATGTGACTTCAGGTTTGGGTTTGTTGGAAGATGCTTAGGTCCTGGAACATGGTGGCACCAAGGGAAGAACACTGGCATTGTCATTAGTTGAATCTCAGTCTAAGCTCTACACTTCCTTGTCATCCTGTGAGTAAATCATTTCAACCTTGCTGTGCCCCAGTTTTTCTTACCTTTAAAATGGGGGTCCTAAGACCTCTATTTAAGGGTTGTTGTCAGGTTTAAAGAAGAAAACATGTAGCAGAGGGCCTAATGAGAGTAAGTAGCTACTATCGTTGCCATAGATAGGCCCTGCCTCCTCAATCTTCTTGATCCCCGTGGGGCCACATGTTTGGTTCCCCATCTCCCATCCCAATAATGCTCATGTATCCGTTTCTTTCTCTACAGGTGCCTGGTGGCATGCTCACACTTCTCTGCTTCACTGTGAACTCTGAGACAGCCAGTGGGAGGAGCCTCCCATCTCTAAGCTTGAGAAGCTGGAGTTCCCAGTTCCAGCACCATAAATGCATGGAGTAGTTCCTGAAGAAGGCCATATCATGGACTTCCATGTTTATATGACTATGAATTTTTGAAGTCTTTGACTCCCCAGCAAGATGCCACTTCCTGATGTAAGCTATCCCTAAATGATAGCTCCCACCCCCCACACATCTGCAGCAGACCTTACCTGTTCCTCTCTTGAGTTTATGAAAACGAGATGCGCAGACTTGTCTTCACAGAAAAGTTTTGCATCCTCAAAAATTTCCTTTTCCACCGAAAAATAGTAACATTTGTCTGTGAAGTTCTTCCAATGAGGTGGACAGCCTAGGAATACAAAGTTTGTAGTATACGTTTTAAGCTCTTCATATTTCCTTAGCTATGTTTAAGATGCTATAGTCCCAGCCCCATGCCAGGAGCAGTCTGTGCGAGCCTGGGCCTGATTTCACAGTAGTGAGAACCAGAAAAATCCTATGACTAGATCTTTGTTCCTTTGTACCTGGATTAGTGCTTTACAGTGACAGAAATAATTCAAAACAAGAAGAAAGCTGGCTCTGAGGATTATCACCTTGGGGCACCTGGAACCTATGAACAACTGGATGTGAGAACCTAGACCACATCCAGGCTTTTGGTGCAAAATAAGTAAGCAGAGTCTCCCTTCAGGTAAGTTTTGCCGAATATTTGAAAGGTACCATGACACCTTTTCAAAAAGGAATTGAATTTAGGCAACATCGCAGAAATTCTGTGTGATACAGATGGAGTTTGTCCCTAGAGGGTGGGCAGAATGAGGACAGGATGGTCAGGGAGTGGCCAACCAGCACTGGCCGCCTTGAAGGAAGTATTTGGGTTTCCTTATCTTCAGAGGGCCTGACTCCTCTAGAGAACTGATATTGTTGGGAAAGAAACACAGGCTACTGAGTGACTGGGTTGAGGCTGTGGGACCTCACCTGGCACCTCACTGCTAAATTAAATTAAGGAGGCTCCTTCTGGGGGGGTTGGCTCCATTGTGAACACACACATTGTCTGCTCACCCCCCCCCCCCAAGCAAATCAAAGCTGGAAAGAGGTCTTGGGACTTACCATTGGCTTCTGGCACTGGTGTTGGCACATTCTGCAGGGCCAGGGGCTCCACAGCCCCAGATGGGCCTGGGGGGCCTGGAAGCCCTTTGGGGCCTGGCATGCCGGGCACTCCAGGCAAGCCCGGTAGCCCCCGTGGTCCAGGTACCCCAGGCTCCCCCACAGTGCCCTGCAGTCCCTGGAAACCAGGAGGGCCCTGGGGGCCAGGGAGTCCGTCTTTGCCTGGTGGACCCGGAGGACCTGGGTCACCACTAGGGCCCTGAGGGCCTGGCTTGCCAGGGGTCCCACGAGAGCCTTTGGGGCCCTGGGAGCCTTTAGAGCCTTTCCCGCCGCGCTCTCCAGGTGGGCCAGCTGGTCCAATTGGGCCTCTCTCACCCGCAGGGCCAGGGGGACCAGGCTCCCCCTTTTCTCCTTTCTGTCCTTTGTTACCAGTGGGACCGGGAGGGCCCTGAGATCCTCTGTCACCTTTTGGGCCTCTGGGACCAGGAGGACCTAAAACATTAAAAAAATACAGTGATAGTCATGCGGTGTCACAGTGGCTTCATATATTTATCTTCTTACATAATCTCCAATTTTAAAACATTTAACACAGGAGACATACATTAATGAATGTATATTGATCTTATTATTATGGGTGTCCTCCATTGGAGCTAAAGCCTTGAAAAAGGTAATTAAATTAAAATGAGGTCATTGGATGGACCCTCATCTAATGAATCCTTATAAGAGATTAGGACACAGACATAGCAAAACAAATGACGTGGGGAAGGAGAGAGGCCCTGGAGGAAACCAGCGCTGCTGATACCTTGGCTTCTAGAAATCTCTTTCTGTGATTCCTCTACATCTTCTTTTCTTTTCTTTTTTTTTTTTTGCCAGTTCTGGGGCTTGAACTCAAGGCCTGGGCACTGTCTCTGGGCTTCTTTTGCTCGAGGCTAGCACTCTACCACTTGAGCCACAGTACCTCTTCTGGCTTTTTCTGTGTATACGGTACTGAGGAGTCGAACCCAGGGCTTCATGCATGCTAGGCAAGCACTCTGTCACTAAGCCACATTCCCAGCCCGGGCTGAATGTTCTTGAGAAAACAGAACAGAATCAGTCTTAAAAGATGGGAGAGGATGGGCTGGGAATGTGGCTTAGTGGTACAGTGCTTGCCTAGCATGCCTGAAGCCCTGGATTCAATTCCTCAGTACCATACACATAGAAAAAGCCAGAAGAGGTGCTATGGCTCAGGTGGTAGAGTGCTAGCCTTGAGCAAAAGCAGCTCGGGGACTGTGCCCAGGCCCTGAGTTCAAGTCCCAGGACTGGCAAAAGAAAACAAAATAAAACATTCAGCCCTATTTGAACAGTCTTAGGTCAAAGCTCTTTATGAACTGCTTGCCTCTGATTCTCACATTCCCACTCAAAATTCCCATTCAATTACCACATCCTTCTCCTGGGTCAATCAGAAGAAATTTTGCTTCTTTCTCAAAATTTTCAGCCCTTTCCAGTCCTGAAGGACCCTTCCCCATCTAGCACCCCCATCTGCAGAGTGATTATCAAACGCCCTCCAGAGACAGGTACTTCTCTTTCTGATCTGTGTTCCGTACCATGGAAGGACTGTGGAGATATCTGCCTATCCTGATTTTATTGACATGACAATGGGCCCACTGGGTCTCCTAATCTGCAGTTTTGAGTTTTCTTCTGTTTAGTCTGAGATGGCTTGTTACATAGTCTTGGACATTTAGGAAAGATAGGAAAGGTGGACTTTTGTTGTCAAGTTATCTCCTGGAAGTTATTGTGTTTCTTCTGTCTCTCTCTACCAGTATCAGGGCTTAAATTTAGGGCCTCAAGCATGCTTGACTCTCTTGCCCATGACTAGCCACACCTCTAGCTCAGGTTTTTGCTGTTTGTTTGCCAGTCCTGGGGTTTCAATTCAGGGCCTGGGCACTGTCTCTGATCTTTTGTGTTCAAGGCTCTATAACTTGGTGGTTAAGTAGAGGTAGGAGTCTTATAGACTTTCCTGTCTGGGCTGGTTTCAAACAGCAATCCTCAGACCTCAGCCTCTTGAGTAGCTAGGATTATAGGCATATGCGAGCCACCAGTGTCTGTTTGTGTGTTGGGCCTGGGTGCTGTCCCTGGATTTTTGTTAGCTCAAGGCTAGCCACAGCTCCATCTCTGGCTTTTTTGGGTGGTTAACTGAAACCAGATGGGGCAGTAAAGCCCAAGAGACTCTTATTTCCAAATGGTGATCCTCATGTCTCAGCATCTTGAGTAGGTAGGTTTACAGGCTAGTACCTGGCTTTAAAAAATTTTTATTATTTGTTTTTAAAATAGAATCTCATGGACTTTTCTGTCCTGGCTGGCTTCAAACCATGATCCTCTGATTCTCAACCCTCTGACTAACTAGGAATACAGGTGTGAGCCACTGGAGCCTGGCTGCAAAGTTATATTCTAGAGATTAATATTGGGGAAGTTACCATGTGTGTTTCCCCATAAGAGATACAGAATTATGGAAAGGTCTAATAAAAATCTGGCAATAAATATGACCAAAAAAAACCTTTTCTTCTGTTTCATAAAAGTCTGTTGAGAAATTCAGCTTGGGAATCTTAAATGCCAAGGTATCTATGAGGCTGGTAAGGTTGCCATAGCTCCAGAAATACACTGAAACAACCAACACCAGGACTCAAGCAGCCTTAGGTTTGCATTGCCAGAAATCCTCCACCTGTGTTCACAGATGCTGGAGCTTTGGGAACCTTGAACCCTAAAGCAACTCAAACCAGACCAATGACTTTAAAGTGCCAAGCCAGTAGTCTACCTTAAGAAAAGTTTTAGATGTATTTTCTAGTAACAGATTTAATTCTTACTGCCACCCATCATCTTGGAGACTGAACATCAAGAACCTCTAATGAAATCCGGTGCAGTGGCTCACACCAAGAATCCCAGCTCCACAAAAGGCAGATGAGGAACATTTGCTTGATGAGCTAGCTTTGAACCAGATCTCAGATTCCTGAGTAGCCAAGATTATAGGCATGAGCCAACCAGTGCCTGGTCAGCTCTTAATTCTTAGTGTGGCAACTGTGTCTTAATGAGCCCTTGTTATTAGCTACCTTAAGTGTAAGTCATCAGGAATTTCCTGGAAAGCATCAGAGTGTTTTGAATCTTGCAGAGGAAAGACGAAGCCAAGCGTAATCCCTCTTGCTCCATCTAGCTTTCCCTCATCCTTATGCTGAGCTCACCATGTGCAGAAAGAAGATAGGCCCCAGGATGCAGAAGTGTAGAGAGACAGATGTGCATGCAGAAGTGGAGTGCTTTGACTCATGGCTTCTTTTCCCATACCTGTTGATCTGCAAGGCCACTGGATACATGGAATTGAAAGGGAGTTGTACTGGGAATATGCATATTTTTTCTAGCATGCATGAAGTCTTGGGTGCAATTCCCCAGTAGCATATAAATGAAAAAACTGGAAGTGGCACTGTGGCTCAAGTGGTAGAGTGCTAGATTTGAGCAAAAGAAGCTCAGAGACAGTGCCCAGGCACTGAGGTCAAGCCCCTGGACTGGCAAAAAGAAGAAAAAAAGAAAGAAAGGAGAAAGGGAGTTGCTTGTCTGGCTTGAGAAGTTTCTCAGATCAACTCATAGCAAGTGCAGGGATAATTGGGATGTGAGAAAATAAATATTCTTCAGAAGTTGAGCTCTAACTCATTGCTGGGATGAGGAACATAATTGTCACCGACATCTCCCACTTACCATGGCTATTACCACTTACAGTGTGCTCCATGGCCTTGCTCTAGGACCTTCCCTAATGTGTGCCACACTGAATGAGGAACAATACCCACACTGCAGATGTGTTCCTTGCTCCCCACAGATGATTCAGCAGCAGCTCCAGCCACACCTACCACCTCCAACCCTGCAATACACAGCCTATGGCTGCTACTTCTGGTCTGAAACATTGAGGAGGAAATTCCAAGTTCATAGGCACCAAACATGATGGTCAAGAAGGGTCACAGCACTGTGAGCCTGCCAAGGATGTGGCTGGAGAGGTCAAATGGGACTTCTGAAAACAGCCTGCACAGGGTCCTAGTTACTGGCTCCATTGCTACCATTCCATCTCAAGTCTCGCCCACCTAGGCTGGACCTCTGCCTCCATACGTAGGCTTCTAAAATCTGATCTTACTCCAACACCAAGGAACATCTTTTAAAAATGCAAATCAGATAAAGTGTCACACCTACAATGAACTTCCAATTCCCTGACCTTATATGTTTACTTTAAGGTATCAGGGACAAGGAAGAGGGGTATGTCTGTTTCATGACTATCCTTGAAGCTAATGGCATGGGCCTTAGCACCAGAATGCTTAGGCTCCAATTATGTTTAAGTACTTACACTGGTGTTTATTTGAATCTCTAAGTTTTTCCCTCTCTAAACTGGTGATATTAAAAGTAACTGCTTCATAGAGTCCTTGTCAGGATTCACTGAGATGATTTGTAAGAGTATTTAGTACACTTTATTAGTCATACCTACAACTTCCCTGACTGGGAAATATCCAACAATCTCTAATTACTGAAGAACTAATAACATGAACATGAATCTTCCACTATAAGCATTTTAGATCACTTAGCTTACCAGACATGTCTATAAACCAAATGTCATAAATTTCCTATAATCCAGAGGAGCAGAGTTCAAAACCAGTCAGGCATGCCGAAACTAAACCAGGATGAGTTAAACCAACTTACCAGGCCCATATCAAGCATTGAAATAGAAACAGCAATAAGAGACTTCCTATCTAAGAAAAGACCAGGACTTGATGGATTTACAGCGGAATTCTACAAGGGCTTCAAAGCAGAACTCACACCAATACTCCTCCAACTCTCCAATGAAATTGAAAGTTCACTACCGAACTCTTTCTATGAAGCCATCATAACCCTCATCCCAAAACCAGGCAGGGACTCATCAACAGGAGCAAGAATAAGAACCACATGGTTATCTCAAAAGATGCAGAAAAAGCATTCAACAAGATCCAACACCCCTTTATTATGAAGGTTCTGGAAAAATTAGGAATCCATGGAACATTCCTCAATATAATAAAGGCTATATGACAAACCTACAGCCAGCATTATACTTAATGGTGAAAAACTAAAGCCATTTCCTCTGACTTAAAGTCAGGAATGAGACAAGGATGTCCACTCTCTCCACTTCTCTTCAATTTAGTATTCAAATGCCTAGCTATAGCAATAAGATGCAAACATAAAGGGGACTCAAATAGGGAAAGGTGAAGTAAAACTCTCCCTCTTTGCAGATGACATGTTCTTGTATTTAAAGAATCCCGCAGACTCCACTCCCAAATTACTCAAGCTGACTCAAAACTTTGGCAAAGTAGCAGGGCATAAAATTAACCCTCAAAAAAGCAACGGCTTTTCTGTATGCCATAATGAGAAAAGCGCGGCTGAAATCAGGAAAGCAACTCCCTTTGTAATAGCCACACAAAAAACAAAATACCTAGGAATTAACTTAACCAAAGAAG